CTTCATGCGAAATATGATGGATCAATGGCGAAACTCTCAAACCATACGTTTCTAAATTGCAAACCTCGGTATTTTTAGAATAGAGAGAAAACTGTCTTCTTTTCTAGTCCAAGAAAGTAGAGGGGAAGTAATTCTTAGGAATATCTAAGAGGATAAGATGTTTTTAAGACTATCAGTATTTTGAATGATATTTTCATTTGTCAAGAAAGATGATCGAAAAACCTAGGTAGGGGCTTTCGTATTCAAAAGTCAGCACTACATTTTTTTTTTTTTTTTTTTTTTTTTTTTTTTTTTTTTTTTTTTTTTTTTTTNTTTTTTTTTTTTGCATTTGAATCCATTTTGGATCAAACATTGTATACGTCGCAGGTACCTTTGATGCCTGGATATGTCTTGACAAAATCGCAATCGACTATACCAGCACATGCAGACCTTGGTAAAAATTGGCGATAGGAACTGCGTTTCAAAATACCTTAGGAGTTCTTATAGCCGACTAAAGAAGGCTATTGAAAATCATATAGCCGGGCTATACGAAGCTATAAGAAAGAATACAGTCGGGCTATAGTTCCTATCGCCGGGCTTTACACTTTATCGCCAATGGCTATAAAATTCTATATGAAATTGTGTAGAAATTCGTGTGGTTTGGAAATCATTAAGATTGATACGGAGTTACCTTAATATTTACTAAACACACATTATATTTTCCTTTAAAACATATTTTTTTCATCAATTAAAATGATAACTATCCGTACAGAGTGTGCAAACATTTCAAAATTATCATTTGAAAAACGCTGACACCGCAAAATTAAATATTAGAGCCTAACACAAAGCGGAGCGGCGACGCACTGGCGCCTTCAAACCTAACAGGGATACTTCACGCATTGCGCAATGCGTGAAGTATCCCTGTTAGGTTTGTAGGCGCTAATGCTCGTTTCGCGCTCTCTGCCCGCCCGCCGCGCGTCTGAAGCAAGTATTCCACACCAGAGGTATTGCACAGAATCATAAAAAATTGAAGGCGCTCCAACATATTAAGATTGACAGGCATCCTTCAAAAGTATACGGAACATTCCTCGGAAAATAAAGCAAGATACTACGGCACAAAGAGAGAGTGGTGGTCCAAAAACTAACTAAGTCCTAGTATCCGTATTTAGTAACGTTTAGCATAAACTTTATCGTCTGGCTGTTGCTCAGTCGCCATCGGCTGTAAAAGGCTAAAAGAAATTGCACAGCCGGCTACAGAAGCTATTGGAAATCTTACAGCCGGCTTTAGGTCTATGGTATTTTGGAACACAGATTCTATTGCCAATTTTTACCAGAGGAACTGAAGAGATGGAATAAACCCGCTCCTTCAGGAAAATCATCATTAACAAGCCTTCGGAAGTCCCAAACATCAGTATTCTTCAATTAAGCACTTACGCATGAATGCAACATTGATAATAGAAGGTCATCTTCTTCCCTGTAAATGTCCTCAGTTACGGACATGATATTCCAATCCAGTTACTTTAGCTGCCTGAATTTTGGAAATTACTTTCAGCATAATCTCTACTCAAATTTAGCTTCAAGTTATTTAAATCTATCAGATTAGTAGGGAACCGATGCATAAAACAATGCCGAAAAATTCATTCTGCCGTATAGGTATAGGGAAATGCGTAGGTAGTGCACACGCCAAAAAAGTTTACGTACTTTAAGACTGCGACAGAAAATCCGTCATCCTGCTTCTTGCAATTACTTTACCTGTTAAGATGACGTCAGACGACCCTCTGTCGTAGTCTAGAAGTGCGTAAACTTATCTGGCGTAGATTCTACGTGTGTGCGTTTGGAAAAAGGGCCCATCCTGGGATACCTGCATGCAAAAAATAAATGAACAGGGAATGAAAAACCAATATTTTCAACTTGGAAGGCTCTTACTTCTTTTTTCAAGTTCTATTTCTAAAATGTCCTCGCGGTTCTCCCCTTGGAGAGCACGTGTTGCGTGAATGACGATGACGCACGGAACACAGTGGAATGAATCGTTGGGGAGATCGGACATAAATTGCTTCACAATATCTCTATATTTTGATGTTTCTTGCATCACATTTTATCTTTTAAGAGGTGTTATAAAGGAAAATTACGATACAATCAACAAATCCACTTTTAAACTTTTCTGTTCCACATTAGTGAGGAATTGAGTTTTTAAAAATTCCACATCTTGTCTGACTTTTCTCGTCACTTATCGCCACCGTGCGGCGTTAAATACAGGCGCATGGAATTGACTGTGAGATGCGTTTTTAAAATTCTGCTTTTTAAGTGACTCGTATTTTCTTTGACTAAAATATTTTAATGGAAGATAATTATTTTCGACAGAAATATTTTTATGGAAGATAGAGTATATTTCGCACCTTTTTTCTGCAGCAACATCAAAACCGAAAAAAAACCCGAGATTGGTAGATTGGGAGTTTTATCATCGATATACATTCTGTAATGCAGAGGCTGGCGCGCGTTTAATGTTTAAGCGTGCCAGTAGGGATCGCTTTTTTGAAATCATTCGGATGTACCATGGTACAGCACACCGATCGAACAATGCTTTTCAACGGGCGGTCCAAATATATTTTTCCTCGGATTCGTTTTTTTTTTTTTTGTCTTTCAACCGCCACACTTTCAAGCCCGGATTGTCATTTATCAAAAAACCGAATGAGCTTGCCAATGGAAACCATTCAGAACATTTTTTGTCAAAATCGTATTATTTCATTTGACAGAGACTTCAAAAAACCTTGTCTACGTTAGAACGACTTGAATCTAGAATATTTTTTCCCAACTCCGTCCTCAACTTTTTAGTCAATGAGCGTCATGCGCTGCTGTCGAGTCTTCTGTAGTCTATTTCACGAAACCTGAGACTTTTTATTCTGCATTAAAATCCGTAAAAAGCGACGCATCAGTCTCTCATGCGATGACCCCACCCCTCACCCAGCACTCTCTCTTGTTCAGCGACGAGAGACCCGCAACCCGTCCATACTAAAGGTCGGAATATTAGGCACCCTTTATCCCTCCTTAATAACCCTTAGTATACCAAACCGAGATTTCTAAGCCAATGAAAAATTCATCTTTCAGCGTAAAAATTTAGTTCCAGCACAAAATTATGATGAAAACGCACTGAAATTCCGTCCAATTACCTTGATTTTAAGCTGACGCACGGCCGTTCGCCGCAAATAGCGGACGTGCGCAAATGCCGCATATCAGCTTAAAATCAAGATAATTGGACGGAATCTTTAAAATTAATTTACACCCAACGTTCCTTTCCATAGATTCTTCCAAAAGCAAAAGATACCAATTGATACAAGTATCAATGACATGAAAATCGTATGTGTCCAACATTTCAGTTTTTCGGCACGCTTTTTCAACTTATTTATGTTGGATCCGTCTTCTTGCTTTATTCTGCGATGCAGGTCGCAATCTTTTATTAGCCTCTTGGTCAGAAGCATCAGCAAGCAGCGTTTGGCCAATGTTGTGACAAGTACATTATGAAAAAAGCCGGACCGACCATAAGTTGGCTATTGCGTCGAGATGCGAGATGCGGGGAAGAGCGCGGCACTATCGAAAGGAGGAAATAGTCTTCGCCAAATAGTGTCACATAACTGCGGGGGAACAGGGTTTCAATGATGTAATTGCAGGTAGAGGTATCAAGCCATCCGATATTCCTGCTGCCGATCTGATAAGCTTTTCTGCAGGATTCGTTAGATCTCATGAGACAAACTCTTGATCATACGGACCCGCCACTACACTTTGACTTATCGAATAGTTCGACCGAAAAGGAACGCTTATTGGCTCCGTATAGGATCGAACTTTTTTTTCCAGTGAATATGTTTTTTTACTTACACTGAAAAAATAACATGCTGTTTTAGCATCTAGGATGTCAAAAATGTGTCTGGTGATCCCAAGATGCTATCTTCACTGCCCGCGCAGTTAACTTTACATCCTGTGAATGTAAATTCAATTGAGTGGGCAACCAAGGCAGCATCTTAAGATCACCAGACACATTTTTGACATCCTAGGTACTGAAACAGTACACCATTTTTTTCAGTGTAGTATTTATTTAGCTTCTTATAATTTTCCTTCACCTTTTCAAGAATATTCCCCAATTTCACGCTCTAATGTCTAATGATGCACATGCATTTAAAAAAAAAAATGTGTTATGTTATGTTTATAAGATGAACTGAAACAAGGCAAAGAAGGCTCTTGTTTTTCCAAATTTATCACCACGATAAAACTAGGTGACCTTTTCAAAACACGTCAGTGTTGCATTTTTTTTTTTTTTTTTTTTTTGCTGAATTGAACAATTTTTTCCATTCTACTTTTTTATAAAAACTTCTAACTTGTATTGACAAAATGCAATATCTGCGCACACGATGGTCTTTTGATTTTATGAAAATTCCAAGAAATGGGAAAAATTATCCAGTGCAGTTCCATGAAACGTCCATTTTTCCTCCTCTGAATCGACCTAATGGTGCTGGCGCACTGAGCGTAAAAGTCACGAAGGGGGGAGAAAATTGTGAAATGTAATGATTTTGACGTCCCTCGTTTACCTGCGTTCACTTGAAAATTTAGTCATATCTTCTTTCTAGCATTCCGATCAAAAGCAAGATCGCACCAAACGACACAGCAGTTGATTTATCGAAATTTGTTCTGAAGTAGATATATCGCTTCAATTGCTCACGGAAAAAAAAGTGTTAGGGATTATCCCCTAAAATTGTGGTACCACCACAATTTTTTGGACGATTTGGACATTTCTAATTAATTGTGGTAGAACCGCAACTCAAGTTAGGGTAGTACCGCAACATTTGAGTTAGTAACCTAATCTATTGGGGTACGACCACGATTAATTCGTGTACTACCACAATTAATTGGAAATGTTCATATCGCACAACAAACTCGTGCTTTTTTTATCCGTGCTGAAGTTTGAACTATCAAGCGATTTAGTTGGTTGAGGTTTTATTTTCCATTGAGGATTAAACAAACTATTATCTCCAAAAAGTGAATAATAGTAATTTATTTTATTTTTTGGCGTGGGAGTTTACATCATCTCACAATACATTAGAAGTTAAAGAGTCAAAATTATATGGAAAAATGAATAATTACCGAGGTGGTTCCAGTCGATACTTCGACCTCAAGGATGTTGAGTTCAATACATTCTTTTTGTTAGGAAAGTGGTCGCATTATGATCGGAGACAAGATACCTTACACCGGCCTCTTGGCGACAGGCGGAAGCTTTTACTTTCAAGGATTCAACATTTCCCCATGAAAAATATATGGGAGCAACGGTCATCTTACCCACTAGGTGAATGATGAGCTCCGGATGACGTCGTGAGCCAAAATTTGCCCAAACTTTGGTTCGTTGGTGAAACAAAATTCTCAACACGTTGTTAATCATTTTAGTAGTTAGGTCAGTTGAATGTTGGAGTCCTAAAAGGAAGAGCTTCCACCATTGCCAAGATACCAGCGGAAGGTCTCCGGTTATGACCTCTAAAAAGACCTTAAAGTGACGGAGTATAAGAGTATAAGGGGCTGAAAAATAATCCGTCGTCAAAACCAAGGTTAGAGGCATCTCTCCGATGGATATCTGTTGATCAGGTTCTTTTTTTGGGGACCAACGGGGGCAACCCATCCGGGCGTTTTGAAGGTCTGGACGACTTCTTTGGTGTCCTAGCGGTGATGCTGTCCGAAAAGGATTTAAGAGTCGCGACAGAGACGTTATCTCCGTCCTCTTTGGGCGGCCCTGATGACTCACCCTTCTCGGCGCCACGTTTACGCTTCTTCCGCATAGCCTCTATCCGCGCCTTGCGGTTTCTGTCCCCCTGGGATGGCTGAAGCCGGAGGTCATTGGAGCAATAGCCGAGACTTCTCACCTCCTGGGTCAGGCATCCGAGTAATTGGTTTTTGTAGTACAACTTGGTCACTTTCGCACAAGCTAGCTGCTTGTCGTCCTGTTTCAGAAGTTGGCATTTAGGCGTATTTGCACCCGGGCACTTGTAATCTGGCAATTGTAATCCGGCAAAATTTAATCTCTCCAGCCAATGAAATGTGCGGGCGCAATCGTCGCTGGCGGCTTGTTTCGCTTGTTCGTGTGATGCAGGTGTCAACTTCGCGCAAGGATCGTTGTCCGCCCTCGATAATACATAGCTCATGATTTCCTGATCTGTAACCTGAAAATAATAAGTATACAAAAATCAGAGATATATTTTTAAAGGAAAATAAGGTAGTATACGCAGTCGTATCATCAAGACAAATCACGTGTAGGCTGTTTCTCCTAGAAATAAACCAAATGGCATTTGATGTTGCTAAATTTCCTTTAGACTATTTACGCGCACAGTTGTGCCGATTTTGAGACTTTTTGGGAATTTTTTCGGTGTCAAAGAATAATGTCCCTGAATCTTGAAACGAATTTGTAAAGCTTTTCTCATACACTGTCCAACGAGGGACACCGGGTAAGGACAACTAGGATCTCTTTTTAAAAAATACAGCTCATATATCAATAGCAAAAATTGCGAGAAGAAAATTTGCGATTCATCACTTAAATCATCATTTTCACTGTATATTAAGCATTCCCGCTGTTACAAGGTATAGGGTACAAAATGATCTTCCATGATCATGAAAGCGCAGTATTGTCGTAGAAGTATACTTCTAAATTTCGTTGTTTTTTTTTTTTGAAAAAGCTGTTCATTCATCTTTGGATGCATAAGTTTAGATGGATTGCCATATTAGTTATAAGTGAATTTTGTATGTCATTTCATACTCTGGCTGATAATGCGACCACTCCTAAGCCAACAGGGAATTTGAATGGAGGGATTGCAGTAGTTTCACTGTATTTCTCATTGTTTCCCCCAAAAATTAAAGAGCAACAGTAATTTTAAATCTTTGCGGAACAGATGTTATAAGTTCTTGGCGAGGAATGAAAGGCAATAAACGGAAGTAGGGCAATACAATTGATAGATGGACGAAAAGCCGTCAGTCAATATTCGTCGCATCGTATGTCGGTTGAAGGCTAGTTTCAGCCCCATTAAATGATAGAGGAAGAAAGTCAGGTAAAAGGAAAAATGGGAGGTTGAGGCAGGGGGCTGAATCCCCGCAACTCGGAAAAAGAAAGACTGTTAAAAGACTTAATAACAAGTGCCTCCGTACAAGTGTATGAGAAAGTCAAATAAAAGAAAAAATAATTCAATTTTTTAGGTGTTTTCCGTGCTATTCATTTACTTATAGAGCTACTAATATCGATCGATGTGAAAACTTTCCAGACTGTCGGTGATTTTCACATTTCTCTTCACTATTGCACAAAAACTACACAATGAGAGACACGTATAGATGTAGTTCATTTTGGGGTAAGAGTCCTTCCAATGCATTTTTTTCCAAGCGTTGAAAAAACACACCACAAAAAATTGTCTGCTTGGGCCTGATTGAAAATTTTCTCTTTGTCGAAAAGTCATTTTTTGTCCCGAACATACTTCGCTCGATAAGATACTTAGTTCTTTATAAAGAATATGGTGTCAAAGTGTGAACTTTGACGTCATTCAGCAGAACTTGTGTCGACCCCATTCCAAATAAATTGCTTGCGCACATAGGCATGCGTGATCAAAATGATGAAGTTAACCGCATATGAGACGTAGTCCACGCGCAAATTCAGTTTTCGCAAACATGGGCGAAGTTTCACTGTGGTGGTGTTTTTCAAATTATTTTTTCCCCTATTTCTATAGTTCACTGGCTTAGGCTATCGAGTCTACACGCATCAATGTGGAAATAGAGTGTATATTTTTTGTCCGTTGACACGAAGGTTTCTCACCCCGAGGAGGGCATTCAAATTTTCAGGAATGAGGCCGAATGGAATTTTTTTCAGCAGACCAATTTTTCAGTCCCGTGAGAACTCGTCATCAATAGCCGGATTTGAAGCGGAGAGACATTCTGCTGATTTAATTAAACCCACCAACTGAATTTTGGAATATAAGTTTTTAGTCAACTTGAGAGATTCTTTCTGCACTTTTTAGCGGAAAATTCCGTTCAAAATTCGTAAGAATTGGCCAAAACTCTCCGGCAAATGACGCTCTTTAAAAATACTTATTTTGTTGGAGGAAGAATCTAGCAACTTTTGAGTACTCACGATGGCGTCCTTCCTAACGTGACAGTATTATCGATTTTTCAAGCAAATGCATTTCAGCAAATTCAATTTAAAATTTCTATAGACTTCAGAGAAATTACCTTTCTTGAAAATANGGGGGGGGGGAACTGGCAGAATTCGAGTCTAAAGAATGGCGTTCTGATTAATGTAACATTGATTCTGATTAGTGTAACATTGACCTGGAGTTGGTCATGTTGACCATGAGCTAACTTTGCTCGCGCTAAAAGGCTTCTAAGAGGTCATGCAGTTTTCAGACAGGCGCGCTGCGAGCCAAATGAAGGTTGACTGAAACAATTGACGGCTTTAATGAGGTAACGGCCTTTCAGGTTTTTTAATGAATTGTCTGTGAAAGGCACTCTACCACAAGCCACATTTAAAAAGCTACATATGTTGAACACATGTGTGCATGAACCATTTTTTCGGGGAAATTTGAGTTAGGAGTGTATTCTAGCCTAGACGTAACTGCAAATTTTCTCCTGTCAAAAATTCAAAGTCGAGAGAAAACATCGCAGTGTAAAGAGATATCTTGAACAATAATATTTTGAACAATAATATCATGAACTTTACTTCTAGCTAACATTGAGTCATATGAAGGAACAAAATTTCGAACCACTTCTCTCCAACCAATCTTGATGAGACTTGGCTCTTGTATTGCGGTGTTTGCGTCGTCTCGGCGTTATTCACGTTGTCCGTTTCGAGGAATAAACTAATGACTCATTTAGCAATGGTATCAGTGCTGAGTTATACACGGTTAACTTGGAAATTTGTTAATATTCGCATGAAAGAGGATGAGGCGTGGTTTTTAATTGATTTTTTCTCTAAACGACCTAATGCATGTTAAAATAAGATTCAGATTTAATTGCGGCTCAAGAGAATTTTATGAACGTTTTTGAAAACCTGCAGGTTTAAAATTTTTTTCCCCGGAAATCGGTTTCTCATCTCACGCTAGTCGCACGATTCTCACCTCATGATTCTCAGGGAAGACTAAGTGAGAGATGACATGAACTCCATACATGATTCATATCCAGGTCTTTGATAAGTGAAATACATTTTATAGATAAAATCAGCAAATAAAATATTTCATCAGCGACGATGCAGATTCTCTGCCACACTTTAGTTTATTAAAACACGACTTACCACCTCTATTAAATAAGATTCATTGCGATTATTCTTCACCTTCTTTTAAAACTGGAAATCCTCGTACTGGTGCCGCTAAGTGAAATAAAAAAATAATAAGCGAAAAGTAGGCTTCATACCTTTTGCATGTTTGATTTTTCCAGGCGGCTTTTCGATTCAAAAAGTTCATTTGACCATTTCAACACGTAATAATAAAAGGTCCTGCCTGAAGATGATTCTGTTGAATCGAAAGGCCTTGAATAAAATAATGAAGGTATCAAGCCTACTTTTCACCTATTATTTTATTCTTCGAGGAGGTATAATATTCTTTATCATCGACTATAAATTAAGTTTGAAAGTGTCAAATATCCTCCAATGGTAAAGTTAAAAAAGTGGCGGAAATTTCATGACACAGGAATTATTAAGGCACGTGGTTTGGAAGTTTTACCATAGGTATGATTGTCTTTGAAGAGATTCCAATTTTTCTTCGTTTTCGTATGCAGGGAAAGCCACCATACATTCTGCCTTCCGTTCTCTCGAATCTCATTTGATGGAAGGACTCGACAGTACTTTTGATTTTTGTATCATTTCTAGGATTTTTATACTATTCATCACAATGTTTTATGCACCACTTATTTTCCTCTCTTTCAATATGTGCATCATAACGGTATTATCAAACGGTAGGGCTGTGCGACTCGTTCAGATTTGCATTATTGACGTTATTTTGAGTGTCTATGTACTGCATGCTAATGTGTTTTTCGTCAAAACTATTTTTAGTTATCACTTACCGCTTGTGCAAACTGCAAAGTGCACGTCACCAACCAAATTATAGTAATGAGCAAAACATGCATTTCTCCTTTGATAACTTGCGGCTTTCATCGATCCTTGCAAACACCAACTGAGTATGGTCATCGAAAACTAAATGCACAAAGATTAACACAAATTTATTGTAATACACATACATGAAGACGCACATTTAAGTTTTACGTCAGAGACAGTTGTTTACGAAAATTAGGAGCTGGGTATCGGATCAATTTACCTCAATGCTAACTGGACCGAGTTTATCAGAAAGGAACCAACCCACATCAAGTTGAAACTGAGAAAAAGAGGTTTGTAGTTTTATTACTCCATAAGACTCAATGTAGAGAGTAAACTTCAACTCCTCTTTTCACAAACTAATGTATTTTTTTGACTTTGAGTTTTTTGCAGGAGAAATTGTACAATCAGAGGAACTCAAAAGCATTCTTGACTCAATTATTCGAAAATGTGGGTCCGTTCCTTTCTGATGAACTCGTTCCAACTGTGCCCTTCTTTTCAGAGCTGTTGATGTTTTTCTCCTAAAACCATGCATCATAATGTTGAGTTTTTGTGATAAAGGGATGTATAAACATTTCGGTAAAACTATTTTTTTTTTTTTGCTCCGTGCTCTCTTATCCTAATTTACTTTCAAGGAAAAGTCTAGAAGACAAAGAGAAAATATATAAAAAATAAAATGAGTTTTTTTGGATTGTTTTTCAAATTTGTTTTACTATACTTTTATACATCCACATGGCAGAAAATGTCAATTTTTAAATTGTATTTTTTATTCAGTTGAATTAAATTCGACCTATATCAACATTCTTAGCTAATTGAGAATAGAGAAAAGGAAATAAAGTAATATAAAAAGGGACATACCTGAGAAAATAGAGGTATCCGCCCGGTCAGGGTGAGTTCCACATTTTACCTCGACCGTGCCCACACTGCCTACGTTGACTTCAATGCGCACAGGAACTTTACAACGGCACTGTGGAAGAGAAAACGTCAGCAAACCCTTGAAAATGACTGTGACTAAAATCTAACCCGTTAGAGTAAAAAAGGAAGGAGCATAAGAGAAATGCACAGCATATTGCAAAAGAAGAATGAGAAGAAGAAGGAAAAAAGGATTTTTTTCGAGCAGTCGGCAGCATGAAGCGATTCAAATGGGACACACAGGCAACCACTTTAGTAAAGGCGTACATTGCCAGTGACGTAAAATCTGCCTCAAAATATGATTTTTCCTTCATCGATTCATTTACTCTACTTGAAAATTGGTGGCTTGGTTATTATATTCAAAATTTTTACCTGCATAATTATTGTGCCTGGTTCTCCACTCGACTTGCACCGCGCAGTCTTAGAAAAAAAAAAAATAAAAAAATACAAGTCCCTTCATGAATTTCAAAATCTCTAAGAATGACGTCAGGCTTTAACGCGGCTTTTCTATACCTCTCTTTGCTTCCATGTCATGTATTCTCCTTCACTTACACGCTCGATAAGGATTTCTCAAAAACAGTTTTAGACCCTGTTCGTGGTAAAATTAATCTCCTAAAATTTAAGTGACATGGTCTAATGCGCTTCTTGAATACACTGAATGTCAATGCAACGGCTACGTACGATCTTCTTAAGGTGCCTCATTCTAATTTTATTTTTATATTTTACTTCTATCTATAAAATACAAACTACTATACCAAGATAGCAAAGTAATGTTTTGCTTTCTACATTCAAACATGCTGATATAGGTTCATAGTCAAAGCTGTGTTTACCTGGATCAAGTGATTGAACTCTTCTGGTTGGGGTTCTGACTTCATCAAAGCGGATCATTGTTAATGGCCGTTTACAACGATATCAAGAATGACAACGGTAAATTGACGATGTCACTCACAATACTGTATGACAAATTACATGCATCACCGGAATTCTCAGATTTCTCTAAAAACTGTAGGTGACACCATTCGACTTGTTCTTAAAGTTA